TTGCCTTTGTCCTTTCCGGTAAACCAAGATATCAAAGTAAACAAAGAATATCCAATTACGAAGTCTTCTTACCAGTTGCTTTTGTCCTTTCCCGTAAACCAAGCTATCAAAGTAAACAAAGATATCCAACTACAAAGTCTTCTTACCAGTTGCCTTAGTCCTTTCCAGTAAACCAAGCTATCAAAGTCTAAGCACAGCCTAAAGACAACCGATAGCGACAGAACGTCAGAGAGACGGACCGTCAGAGAGAGCAAGCCGTGATCTCTAGCTCCCTCTTGTGGTCACTCGCAGTATAATCCACCATTCGGAATATAGTCTAGATCAAAAATAGTCTTAAAGCTACAAACATACATTGTTGGTTTATATGTTGGCAACCCAACTCATTGGTGGACAGATTTCTAATGGGCGGCACCCGTCAAGCTGGGGTGCATCCGCATTTTGGGAGGAGGGGGGAGGGACAAGCAGCCCAGGGAAGGGGCTCTGGGACCACTGACTCCCCCTCTCCCCCCGTTTCCGCTCCCCAGACCATCAAGGTCAAGTACAAAGGCTCCGAGTACCCCTACCTGCTGCCCAAGTCCCCCCACGTCCCCCCGCAGTTCTCCTTCCTCGTGCCCGGCGCCCAGGTTGCCGACGTCCAGGTGAGAAGAACCGGGCCAGGTCGGTGGTGGGAACGGGACGGGGAGGGTCTGGGGGCTTTGGAGGGGGGCTTTGGCCTGCATGGGGAAGCCCCCAGCCCTAGAATATTCCGAGGGATCCCAGTGGGGAGGGGGGTTGTCGGGGTCCAATCCCCCCCTCTCTCCTTTGGACCCGGATAACCTCTCAGGTGCTGCGCTCCGTGGACCGTTGGTCAGCCGGCCTGCACGAATGCTCCATTTACAACGCCTACCTGGACGTCATAAGGACCAGCCAGCATTACCTGTATATCGAGGTAGGAGGGGGGGAGGGGCGGCCTGGGGACTGGCTCCTGGTGGGTGGGGGGAAAGGACAGGAAGTGGGGATCCCCCCCCAACCCCCATTCGGCATTGGCAAGCGGCCCTCTCTCTCCGCCGGCAGAACCAGTTCTTCATCAGCTGCACCGACGGGCGCTCGGTGCTCAACACCGTCGGCGACGCAGTGGTGCAGCGCATCTTGTTGGCCCACAGGTGAGTTCGGCAAGCGGGGGCGGTTGGGGTGGGGGAAGGAGGGAGGTGGAACGCACCCAGGTGGCGGGAGAGGCGCCATATTGGCGGCGGGAGGCCCTTTGCGGAAGGACTCCTTCACCCCTCCCCCTTTTACGGCCCAACGGAGGGAGGGGGTTCCCTCTTCCAAGCCGCTCCGCCATGCTCGCAATCCGGCTGCCTTTCCCTGGCGGCGTCCCTGCCAAGGCCATTTCCTCGTGCCCCTCCAGGAGCCCAGCGCGGCGGTTTGGGGGCTGGGAGGGGGGGAGAATGTGATTCTCTGGCCCGCTCGGTCCAGAACCGGGGAGAAGTCAACAGTCCAGTCAACCCGAGAGAACCCCCGTGTCAGTCCGTGGTGGCAGAAACCCGAGGTGTCCGGCGGCCCCTTTTTCGGCCATTTTGGAGCGGTTTTGCCAGCTGCGGACGCCCCCGGTGAGGCCAACCGGGGTTAATCGGTCTCCCGCACCGCTGTACCCGCATAACTAGCCTCTCTTTGCCCCCTCCGGCCCTTATTTCTTATTTATTTACTTATACCCCACCTTTGTTTTTTTACAAGTAAGTCAAGGTACGGAACGCACCCCACACCTCTTCCTCCTCCTCCTCCTCTTCCTCCTCCTCCTTTCCCCTGTCAGGCGGGTTGGGCCGAGAGCGGTTGTGGTAATTCCCCGTTAGGAGAACGCGCGCATACGGGGCGACGTATTTGAGAGGAGTGTCGGAATAATACACAGATACACCGTAGAGTAAATGTAGGTTTTTACTTCCAGAAAGTCCAAAACAAGCAGTCCAAAGTCATTCACAAGTTCAATCGCTCAGTTTTTCAATCCAGGGATAATCCAATAACAAAGCCCAGTGTCAAAAAAACCCAGTTCGGTATCAGACTTACATTAAATCCAAGAATATCAGTCAGTTAGAAGAAATGGAGCAACGGCAATACTTTCCAACAGAAGGAAACAGAGACTCACTCAAACTCTTCTGAGACTAAGACTGAAACTACCCAAATATCCGGCTCCATCTTATGGCCGTTTGAGGAACCGCACCCCATTGCACACTCTTGTACATATACTACTAAAATGTTTCTCCTGGTTTATATATTTCTAACCCCAGTTAGGTGACTTATATTCCTAACAAGAGCGACCGGCCCAAGGTCACCCAGGCGGCTTCCCCTGCCTAAGGCGGGGTCTCTAGCCAGGTGCTTTTGAACCAGGAGGCCGACCTGGTTTTCGACCTCAACCTGCCCGCCCACCCCCTCCCTCCCTCCCTACTCCGCCGCCCCCACCCCACAGCTTCCACCTCTGAAGGCCGGCGCCGAAAAGACGCTCCCGATGGTCTGTCGGTGACGAGAAAGTCACAGCAGCCACGAAGGGGACAGAGGGAGGGGGAGGGGAACGCCGCCACCTCCACCCCCCAAAAATATCTGACCGCTGAGAGACCGCTGGGGGGGG